CAAGTCAGATTCCAAAGGTTTGAACCCTAATTGCATGCACCTGTATGTGTTGCACAGCAGCTCAGAAACCAGTTACTCGTATATAGTAAAAACAATAACCTAAGAAACACATAATGATTTAACTATAGCACTTCTATTATGTTCAGATAGTTGTTATATATACTCTCTGATGTTGTGGTTGTAGCTAGGTGAGGGCAAATGTGGGTTCAAGTATTCTATGGATCAAAATGAAGATTAGGAATAAGTAGCTGTATTGATAAAAACATTAACCTAAAAAAGGTTAATGTTAATTTTCTGACCAGACATTGAAGGCCCAGATGTCCAAAGACCTGCTCTTGTGAGAAAACAAAGCACTTCTGTACTATAATTGTTCCCAAAATCTGGCTGAGGAAAAAAAAATTAAAAACAACATAATGGAAAAAAAACCCCAAACCACCTCTTTGGAAATGAACATACGAAATCTTACTCCTAAGAGTTTAAGATGAGTTTTAATAAGCTACATGCATCTAAACCTATTGTGTATGTTCGGACTTATACATCTACACAATCAGGCACATTACTGTCTTTGAGTATCGTCAAACAATAAATCCACAATTAATTCATATCCACCTGAGATATTTTTCAAAGCCCTTGGGAAACATAACATGTGCAGGTAACTACATAACAACTGGAAGTTTCTACTTGAGAACCTTCTCCTAAACAGGAGAACAATTACTCTTCTGCATGATGAAAATTTAACATAGTCATCCACTGGAGCTTAATATGAATTCAAACCGTGGAAATGTACACACAAAATTCTGTAATAGGGATTGCATCTCTTCTAATAAATGAGTTGATGGATGGGATTGAGGAAAGGAGATACATCAGCCCAAAACCACAGTAAATTGCTTCTTAATCTTGCCTGTGGTGGTGCTCACTGAAATGTATATGAAGTATTTTAATGTGTAATTCCTTTTTAAACTAACACACACACAAAGGAAGCCCAAATATTTGCTTTTAATTAAGGCTTATTTTCCATTTTTGGTGTTATCACTTGGAAGCCAGCCTATCAAAATACATAATTAGCCATGCTCAGCTGTGCTTATGGAGATGGCATGGCAATGTTTTCAGAAAGACTCTCATAGATGTTTTCATCTGAATGTGGAAACAGTGATAAATCCTTTAGCTCAGAGAGCAGTATCTATGTAAATACTGGATAAAGAACTTCTTCATCTGACATCTAATTAAACTTAAATTCCATTCCCATGTTATCATCTCATATAGGCAAGACAACAGGTCAAACTAAATCCATTTGTTGGGAAGAAAAAATACTTGGATAGTCTATTGCCAGTGTGCTAAAGAAAACATGAACTTAAACCAGTAGAGATCAAACAGATAGACTTTCTGATGCAGAAATGAGGAAAGACAGTTTATCATTTTCCCTGATTTGGTAAGATTTGTTAGTGGCTGGTTGTTGTTTAACCCCAGCTGACAACCTAAGTACTACACAGCTCCTCACTCACTCCCCTCACTTCTGACTCCTTCAGTGGGATGTGGAGGAGTATTATAATAAAGATAAAACTTGTGGATTGAAATAAGAACACTTTAATAATTGGAGCAATGTAATAAGAATAAAAATGAAAAAGAGAGAGAGAGCAAGAAATAACACCCAAGAGAAACAAGGAATGCCCAAGACCAATGGACAAGTTGCTCATCTCCAATGGACTGGTGTCGAGCCCATCACTAAACAGTGATCAGCAGCTCCTGGCTAACTCCTTCCAGTTTATATATGAAACATGATTTTTTGTGGTACGGAATATCTATTTAGCCAGTTTGCATCTGCTGTCCTGGCTTTGCTCCTTCCCAGATGTTTGTGAAACCTCTCACTATCAAAGCAGGAGAAACTAAATGTGCTTTTTCTAAAGAAAGCACTGCACTAAAACATCATGTGCTATCAACATTGTTCTCACGCTAAATCCAAAACAGAGCACTGTACCAGCTTCTAAGAAGAAAATTAATTCTATCCCACCGAAAACCAGTACATGGTTCAAGAGTAATTCACATTTGGAGTGAGAAATTGCTCTTGAGAAAAAGTCCCATTGTCAGGAGATAGCTGATTCCCTCCTATGGCAAATTATCTCAGCAAAGATGTCTTATCCCTTGCATTTGACAGTTTTTAATAAAATGCCTTAGGATTCACTCTTCATCATTTGCAAGTGAGACACACATTTAAGAAGTGAGAGATTCTGAAGGCTGGAAGCTTATACAGGACTTATCACCCACCCTCTGAGGATGTCCCTAAGTAAAAGCTCATTCCCATATCAAATGCCAAGATAATTTCAGTCACTAACAATTTTCTTYTTCTTCCCTTTCTCTTCCTTATCTCCCATGTCTCCCCAATGTCTGAATGCGAAATCAAATAGAAGGATTAAAACATCTCATTATCAATTCAAAGCAAATTACTGTCACTGTAAAAGAAGCATTTGCACCTTAATCGAAAATTAAACTGTACAATTAACCAAAGTGCAGCGAAACTAAAAAAGAAACAGACTTAATTCTGTGTTACAGATGAAGTAAAAATGCATGACTGCAGATCCTAATGAAGGAAAATTTATGCCACCTAAACTAACGCAGATTATTTAGCTCACAAATTTTGTGATGATCACAAGAATTGGACTTTAGTGAGCCTTTAGAAGTGAAAAATTGCCTGCACTAGCAGAAATCATTGAAGAGGATGAACTTAACCTAGGAGGAGATTGCCAAGGGCCACATGAAATGCTCCATTCCCTTTTATTATTGGCTCAGATTTTACCCCAGATCTTTCTTACCACATTTTCTTACACATACCTCATTTATTTTCTCACACATACCTAATTTTCCTTCCCAACAGATCTGCATGCAGAGGAAACTGATTCTTTTCACCCTCTGCAAGGCGCAAAGGACAGCAGTTTCTCCTATATAGCTGCTGCCTACTATCATGTAGGCATTCTTATATGATAACAGTCCCCAAACAGCAACAAAAGGAAGAAGATTCAAAAGTAAGTAACAGATAATTTCAGCTGTCAGATACCCCCAGAGCCCAGTAACATAGCAAGAATGGAGATTTTAAAAAAAACATATCAAAAGCAAAAAGAAAACCTGCAACAGATGAATGTGAAAAACGAAGGTGTAAACATGAGCCAAGTCATCAGTTTATGCACATTGCTGGAGTTACAACTCAACAGGAGATGTTACTTAAAACTGTACTTTAGGTGAACTGATGGACAACACTACCTACCACTTCTTGCTGGATGTTATACTTCTGCATCAGGTGACAGTATGGGCAATTCTCCATTTAGCATCATACTTAATCATTCAGCAGGCAGGAAATTCAAGACAGAGCCTTACTAGCCAGCTAAGTTTCCCTAGGTGCTGCTAATGTGTAGCTCCTAGACATAAATAACAGTTAACCCATTGTGCTACAGAGCCCTCTAAGCCACCTTTGGGCAAGGTTATCAGGAGTAGGTGCTCGGCAATTGCTGTGTGCCACTCCCTGCAGTCTTTTGCAGATTGGTCTTTTGACCTCTGCAGAGCTCACATAATTTTTTAGACGTTAAGTCATAAAAGCCCATTTGCACAATTGCTGCAGGACGCATACCATCAGGCAGGCAGCTGATATGTTTAACAGTAAGAGAAAAGCAGAAAGTTTAAAATCCCAGAGGGTACAAAACTTAGCCCTGTAATGCTATGCTTAAACAAACTGATATATTGTATTCTTTGTATTCGGTGATACAAGAATGTATTGGACTATTTACAGAAAGTCCCCCATAGAAAAAGGATGCTGAATGCAAACCTCTCTAATGTCATGGTTATGTACATAGAAAAGATACTCAAATAAGACACCTTGTAATATGACACAATGCAATGTATTGACAATGCTAGCAGTCCAAGGCACACACAGATACAAACAAACACAGTGCAATTCCTTCTGGAAACAATCTTGCAGCCRCTCAAGACCCGCAGCCAGAGAAATGTTTACAATTTATTAACTGTCATTGCAGCAGCAAGGAATACAGGGAGAAAAGAAGAGCTTCAATCAAAACTACAGTGTCAGCCCCACATTTAGGGGGRAAAAAAAAAACTGGGAGCATATTTATCTTCTCCCTGTTCTGTGTCTCACATTATCCATGTCCCTCTTACACAGTCCAGTACAGAAATCTCCAAATAAGTATTTTTCACTAAACTCTCATCGCTTAAACACACCTTTTTTGTGACTCAAGCCACCACGCTTCAGTTTCTTGTGGCTGTGACACGCAGACACACACATAGCCTGTCCTGTCATTGCTGCATTAGAGCGATAATCATCAGCCAAGGGTGATAGAAAACAGGAGTGGTGCCTGTGATGCCTTAGTGGATCAAATCATCCCATTGGTTTATCTGCCAGCATGCTCAAGGATTCCTAAGCAAGAAAATTTATCTGTCAAAGACCCCCACTAAGCCTGCCTCCTACAAGAAAGGAGTAAGATAGTTAGATCTGGAGGCTGTAATGTGGACAGTTAATCAACAAGACTAACCTTCACAAGATTTTCCTTTCATTTACTGCAATGGCACAGATTATTAGTAACTCTACAAGCCTTCAATCCATTTTGTTATTACAGCATAAGCAAGCAACACAAATTAGAACCAGCAGATCTTGCAGAAGAAACTGTGATGTTTATTAGGCTTTCACCTTCAAAGACAAATATTTCTGTCCTTACTCAGACAGCACTACCACTAACATCAGAGGAGAGGACTACCACTAGCAGCAAAGGAGATTAGGAGCAGCAGCAACACAAGATGGTCCTTCAAAGGGAGAAACAATCAGTAAAAGGGCATTTCCCTAGGGAAAAAAAAAAAAAAAAAAAAAAAAAAANAAAAAAAAAAAAAAAAAAAAAGGGGAAACCCACCAACCTGGTAACAGGAAAATCCTCTTTCAAACCCCCTAACAAAAAGAGAGAGATGAGTCACAAATACCTTCCAGTTGTCTCCGATTTACTCTTTACCTTTGTGATGTTTTCTTATATTTTCTCCTGCAGGAAAAGAACAAAATACAACTGAGATGAGAAGGCTTCATAGGCAAGGAGGAGAAAAGGAGAGGGTCAAAAATGAAGAGCAATTCAGTGAAGTCACTTCTGTCATAAGATTGTCCAAACCTGATGTAGCTATTCCTTTCTACTAACATCATTTGTGGTTGACACTAAATTCAGGAGAAGAAATTGTGTTTGCTTGCATGCACATATTGCCCTTTCTTATGGGAAACCGTTTCTGCAACTAGGAAAAAAAATATTTATTATTCTAAATGACTTACTAGGAAGTCCAAGTGTCAGACACTTACTTGTACTTACTAGTAGTAATTTATGTCTCACATCAACAGGTAACTATGATATCTGTGAAGATCCCGCTAACATGGACTGATACAATGCATCCAACCATATTGTTTGTGGTCAATCAGTGGCATACCCCAGTGGTTTTAGAGCAGTCTCGCTCTAAAAAGGAAGTCTAGATTCTAGCAAGCTCCCTAGTGCAACAAATTCCAGATACCACACCACAGAGCTTCACTTTGTTGCACCAGTCTTGGGACCTTATAGACAAGAAATGGTGAGAGTGGGTAAGCATATAGGACCTCTTCACCCTAATGTACACTTCTTAGCATGGTGGATTTTGTCTTCRATATTAGTCAATGACACATGCTGCCAATGCACAGAGTAAGACAATACATAAAAAGGCTATACATGCCTCCCTTCATGGTTGTCTATGTGGTTATACAGTCACCTGCAGGGTGTATCAGCACTGTATGTTGTCTGTGAGCCGCTGATTCTGCAGTTGTTCCAAAGGCTTTGCACAGATGCTGCCAGGGAATTGATTTATTTGAATTCAGCTCTGCTTTTATGTTTCAAAATAAAATTAAGGATCTTTACATTTAAGTAGTGACTGAAACAAGTCTCAATGCAGACTGTGATGAGGTATGCCCTATTATTTAGCCATACACTAACACATATTTCCAACATTTTCAGTGTGTTTTTCACTATACTCTAGGTAGGTAATATTTTTAAAATAGCTATATGGTTATTAGGATCAGGTTTGCTTCTTCATCTGTGATACTACTGTGTTTGGAAAATTGTGGTTAGGGTGGGCCTAGAAAACCCAATCTAGGAGTATTTTACCTTACAAATATGATGAAACATGGCAAAAAGGAATCTAGTGCTATTTTCTGTTTAAGAAGGGCAATGAATAATGGTCCCTGTTAAGTAGAAAAGTAAAATGTAAAATGACTGGAAAATGTTTCATCCAACAAATATCTTTCCAACTTGCATTTCTTGTTGTACCCACCTTAGTATTCTGACCATGTAAGAATCATAAAAATACTAAATAACTACTTAAAAAAAATTCATTTACAATTTACTGTGTGAAGAACTACATATTTAAACTTGAAATCATGCCAATGAGTAAAAGAGCAAGTATTTATAACAGAGTCAAGTCTATAGCTTACTGTCATTAAGAATCTTGACACATAAAAGCATTAGCCCAGCTGGACAAAGCTTACTCTACAAGAATCTTTTATTTTGATTTCAGAAGGAAGAAAAGTAAAACTTTTGTTTTGAAGAGTGTTCTTTAGGAAATTTATATTCTGACAAATGCAGAACTTCATTTTTTTTTTCTTGGCAAAAAAAACTGCTGAAAAATACCCCATCTGATTGGCCATTCCAATCCATGCTAATTAAAAGATTTTATACCCMAAAAAAATCCATTTTTTTAAAGTTTTCATATTAAGTTATTTGCAAGTTAATTCTTTCACCTGAGAGGCTCCTACAGTTCATTCCAACACTGTCAGAACTATTTTTCCCTTCATTGGTAGTGACTTCCATATAATATAAAATGTTTCCCTTTTAGCCATTTGAGCAAAGAAGTAATTCATTAACGTGTCTTCCAGGCCTTTGAGCAAAGATACATCCATTAACCAAGTGTCAGAGTGCTCTTTGCATTTGATTAATATCATGACTTCTCTGATGAGTAACACCTCTAATGTTCTTTTCATTCAAAAATATTTTTAGAACATTAAAAAGCTGCACTATCACTGATGACAGTACTAGGAAAAATGAAGTTACCTAAGTCATAAAAATGAAACATGTATACTGTTTTTTATTGTTGTTGTTTTTTCCACCCCTGCAGTCCAATCACAATTAAGGTTTATGTGTACCAAGTGACTGCATTTCCAAGCACTAATTTTGCATTTTACACTTGGAGAGAATATAACTGGAGGAACCCTTGTTTACAGGTTCAATATCACTGCTGCATGCACATGCTTTAAAAGGAACACCATTAGCAAATTCTGATATCTGGACAAAAAGTTCAGCATGCTTGAACTTCCAGCATTTCAAAAACAAGGTCTAACAATACTACTCACCAACATTATAAAGAGATAGTGTTGATAACATATGACTATAAGTATACTTTTGGAAACATAGTGTCAACATCTGCTTTATGGTTACAAATCACCACTTACACATGCCTTCCAAAAAATGAGACCATTTGGAATAAAGGAATTAGAAAGTAATTCTTTAATACCATAGCCAGCACCAGAGACTGGTTTGAATGAGCAACCATGTGTGAATTAGCAACAGGAAACTGGAGGGGGAGATTTAGGTTTGATTGTGTTTGGGGTTTTTTGTTTGGTTTCTGGTCACTTTTTTTTCTGAGGGGTTTTGTTTAGCTGTTCATTAAAAAAAAAAAAAAAATTAAAAAAAAAAAAAAAAAA